TACTGCATTCCACACGTGCGTTAACAGATTATTGCACAACTTCCACCAGTGAGAAAATGAGTACGAAGGAATGCAAAATCATCTTCATAAATGTCAACAATCATTCACGGTTGTCAAGACTTAGCAACTATTCAAAAAAGCGTTTTTCAGTCTCAAAATGATTACATTTTTCTTTAACCTCGGCCCAATAGGTTTTTGACAGTTTACACAGGTTTGGAAGAAAAGACGAGGCGCTGTGAAAGATGTGTGTGTGGACCGGAACTGTTTAGTTTTAGCAACTCAAGATTGTGAAAGCTTAAGTTTCCAGAAGTCTTTAATTAACCAAAACAAAATTCCAAAGATGATATGTGGATGGATACCTAAACCAGTTACTGTGTGGGGAGTAAATGGTTATACGAAGTAAATAGAGATCTTTATTTTCTTCTCAGAGGGCACGGTAATAAATCCTGCAATCTGATTGGTTCTTGGGGCAGTCAGTATTTTCCTATCTCTGCCCACGGGTACGGTAATTGCTCTCGGGAGGTTTCGTGGGTGTTTGTTCTCAACAATTGAAAAAGTTTTGAGAGATGAGAAAAAAATAAATATTATTTACCGTCAAAGGGTCGGTCCGTGTGGTGAAAAACTGTGGGCCACCGGCAGCATTTTCAAGACCTCGGTCACCGTTTTTAACAATACTGACCTCCCAGCCGGCAAATAACATATATAGTGTGAAAAATACATTTAAAATAATTAAAAAGATAGGAGTTTTCAGAATTCATTAAACATAAAATAAAACATGAGGGAGAATTTCCGAACATACTTGGAAAACACCGGGCTCTGGGGTCTGTGGACAACATAAAAGAAAACTGAATATAATTATGTTATTTTAACAGCCTCTTCATAAAATACTTTATTCGCAAGTGCCGGAAATCTCAGTTGGAAAACAAATCATCTCTTTTGCTTTGTGGAAAGTTTTTCAATATTTCAATGATCGCGTTCTGTTGCAGCTTTGTTAAATCTCTCTTTATGATGTTGGTAGTTCCGTCTTTTGCAGTACAACCTTTGTTTGAGCAAAAATCTGGCAAACTTCCTATTGCCTGTCTGGTCCACCCATTCTCAGTGGTAACCGTATGGTTACTCAGTGGTAACCGTATGGTTACTCAGTGGTAACCGTATGGTTACTCAGTGGTAACCGTGCATGTACCAAAGGCGGTATGGATACTATTGACACGGTTTGCTACGACATTTTAAAAAACTTGGCTTAGAGTGCTTAGAACCTTCTCATTATTTTTTGTTTCTTTAAGAAAACATAGGATTCTCGAGGCAGATAGAAACAGAAACCTTCAAATACCTCAGGAGGTTACAGCCAGCTCCGGAGGTTACATCAAAGTTCAAGGAACAAGAAAACTCGACTGCCCAGCAAGTCTGCAAGTACGAGCCATACAGTTGTACACTGATTATACTTTAGAATCTAAAGAGTGCTCCTCAAAGAAAGGTAGAAGGAAGGCAAAAGCTGGGATTCTCAAGCAATTAAAGGATGACATGCAGACGGGAAAGCGCCTAAGAACGACAACAAAATTCTATTTCAGGCTTCCCAGTTAGTACAGCACAAAAAGTACATCCTGTCGGTGAGGTCACCACAGTAGGTCATTCCATCCCTCCGAAAATCACAAGCAAGATCCGCGAGCTAGTTAGTGAAAATATAACTACTCCAGATGTGGTACGGAAATGCTTGGAGCAGTACATCGACAATGTTTAGAAGTCATGAAGGTCATCAGAAACCCCGAAAGTCGAACCGAACATATTACCCCAGTCGCCAGGATTTGCGAAGTCATATCGCACGAGCAATCAGCAACAGCAAATACTGCGGTGATGACCAAGAGTCACTAGAGCGCAAAATTGAGCAATGGAGGTGTGACTCCCCATCATCCAAGTTCTACTTTAGGACAAGGGATGAGATCAAGGATGGCGGCCACGAGACAAAGTTTATGTTCGTACACTACGAAGAACGGCAGCGGAGGCTTCTCCTCAGGTATAGCAAAGATTTTAGATAACAAGGAATCTACTCATGTCTACATTGATCCTATTCATGAAAACAAACATCCTACTGAAATAACAGCAGCTTCCAATCCCAGCCTGTACAGACTTGTAAATAACATATGGTGAGTTGCTGTATTCCCAGCACGACCCAGTGTTTCATTTTTGTGAGAGTTAAGAATGGCCATTGTACTGGCCACATTGTCTTTATGATTTTTCAGCTTTATTGGGTGATTTAGTGACTTTGTGTAGCATAAACTTAACTGAACCTAACTTAATAGTTAATTCTATCAATCACTAAGAATTAATATTAAGACAATGTTCATAACTCATTTTTGCAGCTATAGCCAATAGCACTAATTAAAATGGTTGCAATATTTTTGTAGTGCGGCTGCTGACACTAAAACAGGCTGGTCAAGTAAAGAGTGAGCATGCCTTGAACCACCCCATTTTCAGCAAACTGATGGATTCACTGTGGAGTACTTGTTTGTGTGGTTATCTTTAGAGTGGTATAAAGCATTAGATAAGTGAGCTCATCAGTGCCAATATCATCAATATCTTTAAAATTAAACAGTTAAAATAACATGATCTCATTCCATAGCAGTTTTTAAAGAAACATAATCAGAATATTTACATTTTTACATCAACCAACCTTACATCATATATAATATAACTGTAAGATCTATCTTTAGTTTGCCAGGAACTTGTGTGATAACAGACCAATCAGAAAGGTCAATGATTCTATTGAGAGAATGAAGCTTCTATCCAACCTTCCTGGCAGCTGTTACAGTGACATTTTGAGGTACAATAATTATGCTTTTCTTATTATTACAATCACCCCTGTGTATTGTTTTTAATCCCAAATAACAAATTGAGAATTAAGCAATTATTTTGGACTTTAACTTCACTTTTTGACAGTGGAAGGGATGTTCTTGTTTTCAAGGTGTTTCACATGGATGACAATGAAGACTGGCTTGGCTGCGAGAGATGTGGACAGTTCTTCCATGCTAGTTGTTTGGAAGTAAACTTTGCCACAGCATTGCAAGATCCTTTCTTTTGTTGTCAATGATCATACACTTAAAATACACACAAATAGCAACCTATTTGGGAGTCTTCTTTTCATTTTTGAAAGTATATGATGGAATTGGGGCTCAGCTTGTTGAAATTTATATTTGAGGAAAAAAATTGTTCGAAAGTGTATTTTCTAAAGTAAGCTTTATAATTTAAAGCATATTTTTTCAAATAATATGTAGTAAAAGGGCCTAAGAGGTGTACTGTTAACAGAAAAATCATTTAGGTCAGTCAAAATTTGACTGACTGAAATATGTGATCAGTAGTACTTCTTTGTTATAGTCACAGCAAATGTTCCTTGATTTAGGCACTCATTTGCTGAGAAACTCATGAAATAGATATGTCATGTTCATTAACCATCCTTTTGGACAAGAACTGAGGAACTAACAATTTCAGAAACTATAGTCATAAAGAAAGAAAGAAAGAACCAAAAGGCACACAAACAAGCAAAAGATAAAATACAAAACAAGAACTTACTGAAGACAAAATTGAAGACACATTTTCAGAAGCTGGTGATAAAATGTCCTCTTTTACACTGTGCCTTCCAATCTGATTGATAAACCATTTACCAACCATTTACAAGACTAATGGCTGAGTCATTAACCTGTAAAAAATATTATGGAATTGGAGTTGACAATAAAATTTAGAAGGTTGGGTTCAAAATAATTCGTAACTATATGCTGTTAATGAAAAAAGAAAACCCCACTGTATTTCATGTATTACACAATTGTCACTAGTTTGTGTATAAACACTTTCTTTCCTAATTTCAAAAGCAATTCCCAGGATCTGAGAGTTATGTGGTGGGGGACCGGGGGGTGGGGACCCATGAGAATAGGGGATGGGAGGTATACTGGAGGCAAGACCTGGGTAAAAGTTTAGCAAAATTGCATAAACTTTTGCAATGAAAATAAAACATAGTGGCAAGACCCATTAAATAAGGGTATGGGAATTGGGATGTTCAGACCCCTCTGTCCACTCCCCCTCCCTGCAGTAATTTGAAATCCAAGTTTTCCCAGCTCATGCAGTCACACTTGAGCCCCCTTCACCGACCCAAACTGTTTTTGTGAAGGACCTGCTCTACACCATGACTAATTACTAATATGAAACTATTACATTTCCTTTTGCAATTAGGACTACCTTACTGGCCAGCTCCTAAAAGCTGCATATTTTTTACGATAACCATGTTTACCTGATTTTAGTTTTAACGGATGTCACCTACTAAGTTTTCACTGGGCCAGTAGACTGTTAAACAGACGAACCTGTCCCGGGTGATAACTGCAAAGTATAAATGGCCCATTTGCTCAGCTTTTTTACTGTATTAAAAATTTTACGCGGCAAAGTTCTGCAGTTGTCTAATAAAGCATTCCTTTTAACCCATGTTCTTACCTCCTCTTTTAATCTACCCTTCAATTTTCCTTTTCTTAACGTAAATTGTGGCAAAATACGGCAAGGTTTCGGCTTCGGAACCCAGCTGATCAGAGAAGAGAAATCAATTATACCGCTGGTTGACTGCAGGCAGATGCTCGTACCATTACTGAAGTTAGACGACCGCTGACACGATAAGAGTATATATCCTTGCTAAACACGATATCCCCCTAAAATTAACGATCTCGTCCCTGAATGAAGGATTATCATAACTTCTCAAAAGTGACAAAATGAAGTGTAATCATTCAACATCGAGATGACCGTGAGTCCAACGGTAGACTGGAGATACTATGGTAGCGCAAGTCACAAAGTGAAAACTGGCGGCGAAGAAGGCGTCCAAGAACAAAGATGATCTCGATGCTCTGCCACAAGAAGCAACAAGTTTGTTTGGAGAAAAAGAAATATCACGGAAGAGGAAAAAAGGTCGGAGTGATTTGGAATTTTATAGGGACTCCACCACTGGTTTGAGGATATACAAGCACAAGTATCGGCCTCGCGAAAAAAAGGTGACGAATACGTCGCTCTGCAGTGCAACAGAAGAAGGTGAATTTACAATATTTTTATCTGTTGCAACACGATATCCCCCTAAAATTAACGAATACAGTTAATTGTCAAAACGTCTTAAATTTACTGGAATGATTAATCCAATATTCCAAACAAGCTGCTGGCCATGTTGCCTTAACAAAGCTCATGGACGTTTTATTTGACTCAAACCTTATAGATGGCGATCCCAGTTTAGATTTGGGAGATGATGATGTACAACCTACATGTCATGAGATGTCACCACCAACAATTGTCAAGCGTAAGTTTTGTTTGGGACAGAATGTCCTTTTATCCAAACACCTGCCATACAACTGTTTTTCACAACATCCCACTTTAATGTGGATCAATCACTTTAATGTACATCAATCACTTTAATGAGATCAATCGTTTCTCATGCAAAGGTAATGATAAATTTCTAATAATGACTGGAAAAATATTGGGGGTCACTATGCTCGTTATCCACCTATAGATCTCAAGGCAAGTCTGCTATATTTTCAAGGTGTACATGCACGAGCATGCACTAATGATGCTTTTAACTATGCGCACAAAGGGATGCACAAATGTGAGGAATCACCTTAAGCTTATTTAATAAGGCATTCTTGGGACAACTTGATTTAATGAAGTAAATGGGGAGTGTAAAGAAAGAGAGTTTATTTTTTGTAGGGTTGTACATTTCCTTTTCTGCCTCCCAGCTAGCTCAATTGGTTAGAGTGCCGGATTGTGTTGTGCAGGAGGTCGAGGGTTCGAGCCCTGGCCGGACCAATACTCATGGTCTTAAAATAAGTGAGGAGAATTTGCTACCTTTCTATAATATCAAGAAATGGATAGATATTCTAGTCTTCTCGGATAAGGAAGAATAAACCGTAGGCCCTGTCTCCTGCAGGGCTAGGGGTAGGAGACGTTAATTTCCCACGCACAAGATTACTGTGTGGTGGATGTCCTCCCCTGGGTGGGATAGGAAGGGAAGGTGAGATCGTTACATGGACTGAAGCGGCTGCCAGAGGCGCCTAATAATGCTGACGTCCGATCTCAACCTTATCATTGTAACTAGACACGTTTGTTGTGTAGAGTGCTTAAGACTTTCTTCTTTCTTCTTTCTTTTCCATGTTGCCAGGTCTCAATCTTTGTTAAAAAGAAAGTTGGTGAAATTACAGACTAACTGGCATTGAAAAGAAGGGGTGCTAAATTATGTAAATAAATTATGGTCATGAATAGAAGAACGGCCTGCTCCCAGTTGGCTTGTTAGCTCAATTGGTAGAGCGCTGCACTAGTATCGCAGAGGTCAGTGGTTCGAGTCCCGTACAGGCCTGATTTTTTTCAGGTCTGATTTTCGCTATTGCTTAAATAGCGCTATCTACTGCGAGGATCGTGCATCATATGTATGAATAGAAGAGTTGGAGATTCCTAGGCGTAGAAAATACTTTCAATCCTGGTTTTAAAAAACACACTCCCGACAAATTAATTCCATGTGCTCACAACATTTTCATCTAGTTCCAGTCCCCCTCACAGGGTGGCGCCTGGCGCTTACAAAACAGCAAACAAATAAGAAATCGCATGTCCATCCTCCCCCCCAAAGAGCGGCTCCGGGTCCTCAGCTCTTCTCTCGGGCTTGTACTCTGACTGGCCAGCGACATTCAATGGGCACAGCCTAGTTATCAGGCGTATAAACTTCTGGCCCCTTGTGCTCACTTGGACGACAGGCACCTGTCCATCCTGACCTGGGAACACCTCTTTCACTCGACCCAGATGCCACTGACCGCGTGGAGCATTCTGATCAACGACAAGCACTACATCCCCAACCTTCAGGTCTCCTTTGGCCTCTCTCCATTTCTTTCGGGTGCTAAGTGTTGAGAGATACTCTTCTCTCCAGCACTTCCAGAACAATCTCACCAGGTTCTGAATCAGTCTCCATTGGTTCCTGGGATTAAACGCGATGTCATCGGCAACTTGAGGTGCTAGTTGTCCTCCTAGCTGCCCAACTAGGAAGTGGTTAGGTGTCAACACTGGCTCATCTCGCGGGTCAGCTCCTTCATACGTCAATACCATCGTTTGCTATTTCTGAGACATGTCCAACAATTGTCCATCCAAGTGGTGTCTTTATCCCTACAGGCTCCCCTCGCTTTCCTGTGCGATGTTCAAGTGGTAGAAGAAGTTCCTCATAATATTCACTTCCAATCAGTACATCGACTTCTCGATGTTCAACTGGCTTCTCTATCTCCAAATCACGAAGATGGTCTAGTTTCCTTGCATTGGGTGACCAGTCAACTGCTGTCATTTCACAAATTTTGTGGGTTTTCCACAGAAATACACACTTCTTAATGCTCCCATCTACACTTTCTAGGTGCACAGTTACAGTTTTGCTATCTGTGACAATTGACCTTGCTCAAAAAACAGCCACACGTAGTGGTTTACGCTCAGCATCCAAACCCAATATACCAGCAATCTCCTCCTTTAGGTAGGACGATCCAGAACCACCATCAAGAAAGGCGTTTGCTCTGATCTTTATTCCATTTTTCCCTTCCAGAATTACGGGTATCATCTGCAGGGCTACTCTTCCGGGGCATGGCACACTTTCTTCAGTCACTCCACAGGTTGTATGATTAGTTTGCACACCGGTTACTGACATTTCTCCTGCAGCTGCTTGCGGGGGATGGAATGCCTCAGCCATTGGATTTAACTGTGCCAGGGTTATGACTGCATGAAGTTGTGGGTGGTGTCTTCGCAAACATCCTTCCACTGGACACGTTCCTTTCAGCGAGCAACGTTCAATTCAATGTCCTCTTTTGAGGCAACGAAAGCACAGACCCAACTTTTTTGCTAATTCCCATCGTTCATTTACAGCTAACTTCTTCCAAGTCTGACATGATGTCAGTACATGTTCTCCCTTGCACACAAAACATTCCGCTTTCGCTCCTGAATTTGCATGAGTGTCATTCCACACATCCCTCTTTTCTTGAACCTCTTGGGTTTGTTTGAATTTGCCTTGGGTTTCTCTTGTGCAGAACTCTCCTTAGTACTGGCAAAACCAAAAGCCATCTCTTGGACTTGAACCTCTGTCTTCAGCCACTCATCAATATTATTAAGGTCAACTTCCTTTAGCTGCAGCTCTAACTTTCACCTGCTCCACCTAACAGCCATTTTCGGAGGCAACTTTGTAACAATCTGCTGCAAATTAGCTGCTGCTCCTAAATCTGCTTCATGACCATAAGTCTTCAGTGTTCTCACAATGGTGTGCAAGTCATCAACAAACAATCTCAAACTTGACATGTTTTCATCCTGAACTGCTGGTATCTCCAGAAACTTATTGATCAGAGAATTTGAAATAAGGGCGGGTTTCCAAATCGTTGAGTTAACTCTGCAATGGCCTTTTCATATAATTTATTGTACCATCAAAAAACATCCCAGCTATGGCTTTTTCAGCAGTTCCTTTAACTGATCCTTTGAGATAGATCATTTTCTGTGTTTTGGAAAGCGGTTGATCATGCACTAAAGCTTTAAACATGCCATACCAGTTTGGCCACACACAAGGATCTCCATCAAATGCTGGTAAGTTAAGTTTAGGGAGTGAAGTCAACATTGCTGACTTTGAAAAGACAGACTGTGAGAAACCGACATTTCTTTCTTTGCCAAGTAAATGCTTAGAAATGTCATTCTCTTTCTCTTCATCCATCTCCCCTTCCTCAGGGCTCACTGTTTTCAACCATTTCTTAACTTTCTCTTTGGAGTCCCTAATATCACTCGTGGGTACATCTTGCTTGACCTGGGGCGTTGTCTCAATCTTTACATTATCCCCTCCCACTGAGTTATCCTCAAAATCTTTCATGCGATCAGATAAACTATATTCATCAAACTCTTCTTTTAACAGTAATGCCTCAATTTCCTTCCTACCTGCCTCATGTTCAGCTTCCTGAGTTACTAGTTCTGCTTCAAACTGTGCTTTCTGTGCTGCAATCTTAGCTTCCAGTTGAGCTTTCTCTTTAAGTTGCTTCACTTTCAGTTTAGCTAAATCAGCTTCCCTAGCCACTGCTCTTGCATGTTCTCAGGACACAGAAGAGGTCGTTTTGCTGCTACTTTTCTTGCTTTTGTGACCCAGGCTGATGATTGAACAGTTTTCAGTTTTGTTCGGTCCGATTTTTAGCTGTTTCTGGCTTGATGTGAGCTTTTGAGACCTTTTCACTAGTGTGAGTTTTGACTTCACGATACTTAACAGTTTTACAAATCAGTTCCTCTACAAGTGCTTGGGACTCCAATAACCATGTATCTGCTTCCTGCAGTTCCTCATCATTACCACACAAGGCTTGAAATTCTCCATGATTCTCGATCAATTGATCCCATGCTCAATTTAGTTGAGTACATGCAAGCTCAATTAACTTACAGTCTTTTTGTTCCTTGAGGTACTCCCTTATGATATCCATCTTCTGTGTCAAATTCCCTCGCATCGACTTTCTTCTGTTCTTGATTTTCTGGAGTTTGTTTTGACCGGGGACTTCGGTGTAATTGCTCAAATACCGCGGCAGGTTCCTTTCATGTGTCACGATTTCGCTTCGCTCATCCATATCTGACACTTCCATCTGCGATTTTGCCGATTTCTCCGCCATGCTTCGATTCTACATAGGTATAATCCAAAAGCCAACGTAATTCTATTGTATCCGGCGCTCAAAGGACCACTATGGAGATTCCTAGGCGTGGAAAATTCTTTCAATCCCGGTTTTAAATAACACACTCCCGACAAATTAATTCCATGTGCTCACAACACTTTCATCTAGTTCCAGTCCTCGCACACGGGGTAGCGCCTGGCACTTACAAAACAGCAAACAAATAAGAAATCGCTTGTCCAAGAGTTTTCTTCATTTATTGTGGTGAATGTACCAGTATCTATTGATGCACATTGTGACTAAATATTATTTTTTGTTTCATAGAAGATGACCTCGAAGCTGCACTTGCAAAATGTGAAGAGGTCCTTTCCACATTTTAAATTACATCTTCCAAAAATTGGGAAACACAGATGTCTAATTTGACCTCTAGTTGGGACAAAATCAGGAAGCAGCTAATAGAGGCAGTCCTTAGCTGAGAGAGCCTCCCCTCTCCAGACATTTGCAGCATTTGTTTGGAAGGCAAAGTCTGTGTACGATGTGTTGAGTGCCCAAAACAGTTTATGTGCCATTAATGTGATGAGAAGGTTCACAAGTATTTGCCTTTTCATGACAGAGATATGTAAATGGGCACTTTCATGCTATTCCCCCAACTGTTGGAGTTGATGGAAAAGGTTATCATGAAATAATAGGTAATCTCACAATATGTCCATTTTTTTATTGAATTATTATTTTCACTTCATATGCTTAATTATACATTTTTTTAAACCACCATATTCAAATCGAACTTAGCATAAGCAAGTAAAGGTGGATGGAGACACATCCAACACATATTAATTAGCATTAAAGTCATAGGTGGTTTCTTAGAGAAATTTATGATGATGATGAGTATGTTATATCACAATGCAAAACAACATTTTTAATGTAGCTTTGCTTCTCTCTTTTCTTCAGATAAGTCCTTTCCAGTCCCTAATATACCAGATCATTGTTCAAGTTGTAAAGAGGCTGGATTCATACAACAAGTTCCATCTTCTGGTTTCTTTATAATAGTTAATGAAAAACTTAAGGTAATAGTGTCTGTTTGCTTAAACTGTCCTGGAATTTTACTTATTTCCTGTATGTAATTATTAAGTGAATTAATAAAAGTAATATGGCTTGCTCTTTATCTCAAATTACTTTTTGATATGTGTTTTCATGGTAATCAATTAGATTGTAATGCATCATTAA